TCACATAAATACCCCACACATGCTTTTCTGTAACTTCTGTCTTCAATTCAGTGGTTATTTTCTTTGAAACCCCCTCCCCCTTTTTTGGTACCAGGATTGTACTCGGGTCCTTGTGCTTGAGAGGCAGGCAGAAGAACCATTGAGCTAAATCCCTGGCCCTTCAAAACCTTTTTCTTACTATTCTTGTTCTGTGCTTTCTTGTTACCTTCATTATTGTTGAGTGGGTGTGGATGTGGGTGGGTGGGTGGTTCTGGGGATCAAACTCAGAACCTTGGGCTTCTGAGGCAGGCTGCTGAACCACTGAGCTAAATCCCTGGCTAGTGTTTCTGTTTTTATTTTATTTTTCAATTCTTAAATTATTTATTTTTTGTACTGGGGTTCAAACTCTGGACCTTGTGATTATAAGGCAGGCTATGACACCACTGACCTATTTTGTTTTTTGTTTTTTGAGACAGGGTCTCATGTAGTTGAGACTGACTTTGTAGCTCTGGCTGGTCTCGAACTTACAGTGATCCTCCTGCCTCTGCCTCCCGAGTGCTGGGATTACAGGAATGTGCCACCACACCCAGCTTAATATTTAGATTTTTAATCCACTTGGATTTTAGTTTAGTGCATAGTGAAAGATAGGGTGTAGTTCTAATCTTTGACAGGTTGAAATCCAGTTTTTCCAACACAATTTATTGAAGAGGCTATCTTTCCTCTAGTGAGGATGTTTGGCTCCTTTGTCAAAGATGAGGTAGCTGAGTATGTCTGGAGTTGTTTCTGTGTCTTCTAATCTATTCCACTGATCCTTGGGTCTGTTTCTCTGCCAGTATCATTCTGTTTTTATCACAGTGGCTTTGTAGTATAGTTTTCAAGTTGGGAATTGTGATACCCCTTGTCATGTCTCTGTTGCCTAGAATTGCTTTTGCTATTCTGGGTCTCTTCTGGTTCTAAATGAGTTTTTGGATTGTTTTCTCTAGTTCTGTGAGGTATACCATTGGAATTTCAATCAGGATTGCATTGAATATAGTAGTTATGGAAGTATGTTTGTTCTTCCTACCCAGGAGCAAGGGATGTCTTTCCATTTATTATATCCTCCTTGATCTCTTTTTTCAGAGTGGTGTAGTTTTCAGCATAGAGGTCTTTTGCTTCCCTTGTTAGATTGATTTCTAGATAGTTCATTTTGGGGATGCTATTGTGAAAGGGATTATTTCCCTAATTTCACTCTCAGTGAGTCTGTTAATTCTATACAAGAAGGCTATTGATTTTTGAGTGTTGACCTTAAATCCAACTGCTTTACTGAATCTGTCAATTAAGTCTATAGAAGTATTTTGGCAGAGATTTTTGGGTCTTCCATGTAGAGTAGTATCATTTCATCAGCAAATAATGCCAGTTTTCACTTCTTGCTTTCCTATCTTTATTGCTTTTATTTTCCTCTTGTCTAATTGTTGTGGCTAATGTTTCCAAACTTATATTGAACAGGAGTGGTGACGGTGGACATCCTTGTCTTGTTCCTGATGTTAGCATGAAGGTTTTCAGTTTTTGACCATCTAGTATGATGTTGGCTGTTGGTTTTTCGTAGATAGCTTTTATCAAGTTGAGATAGACCATCTATTCCAGTTTTCTGCAGGGTTTTTATCATGAATGGTTGTTGAATTTTGTTGTATGCTTTTTTTGCATCTATTGAGATAATTATATGGTTTTTGTCCTTGACTTTGTTAATATGGGCATTTACTGATTTTCATGCATTTATTGATTTTCATATGTTGAACTACTGTGTCGGCCCAGCCCTCATATCACGAACATGCCTGAGTTGGGGAGTGAGGATTGAGAAAGGAAAGAACACTCAAGCCTGAGTGGAGATCAAGTGAAGTCTGGTTTATTTCTACAGAAACAGCTTTCCTTAAAGGGACATCAACAGGGAGCACCAAGCAATCATCTCCATCATTTCTTATGCAAAAACCAGATTTCCTGACTCCTACCCATAAAACCAGATCTTTGGCTATCTCTTTGAGTTCCTTCGTCACAGGGTCAAAGAACAAATAAGCTTAACAGAGTCCTTGAAAATTAACAAATGTTACATAGATTGTATCAATGCCTTCATTGTAGAGGAAGAAGTTTCCTTTCAAAGGTCAAATGTCAGGTGTCAGAGGGCCATGGCCAGCCCCCCAAAAACCACCTTGCATCCCTGGAATAAATCTGACTTGTTCAGGGTGTATGATCTTCTTGATGACCTTCTATATTTTTTGTCAGTATGTTATTGAGGATTTTTGCATCTGTGTTCATTAGGGAGATTAGCCTGTGGTTCTCTTTTTTGGTTGGGTCTTCCCTGCTTTTGGAATCAAAGTAGCACTTGTTTCCAGGAATGAATTTGGTTGTAATGCTTCCTTTTAAATTTCATTGAAAAGTTTAAAGAGTAGTGACAATCTTTCTTTCTTTCTTTCCTTCTTTCTTGGGTTTTTGAGACAGGGTCTCACTATGTAGTTGAGACTGACCTGGAACTCACTATGTAGCCTAGGCTAGTCTCGAACTCACAGCAACTCATAGTGATCCTCCTGCCTTAGCCACCCGAGCGCTGGGATTACAGGCCTGGCTACATAGCACCTTTTTAATTTAATGTTTTATTGACATGTGTCAATCTTAGAGCCACAGTTGTGTACAGGAGCAGAGCAGTTTTCCCAGTGACAGGTTATCTGCACATTGATCTCCTTGTGTGTCTTTTCTCACTTTACCTATAAACCTGCTGTCCTCGTGACGGCCAGCACGCATTCTGACTTTTTAGCTTACTCTTTGGTGCTTTGTTCATTGCTGCAATCTGCATGACTCATATGGCCACCTTTCAAGGCAGATGATTGTATAGAACTTAGTGTTTGTTCTACCAACAGAACTCTTTTTTTAAATAATTCATCATGAAGTACATTAAAAAAAGAATAAAAATTATAAGACATTCGTGATTATCCTGGGCACCCTAAGAAACATACCTAAGTGGACGGTGATCAGTGGTTAGTCTCTCCAAGTATTTGTGCCAGATGTATCCTCTTGCATAGATTACTGCTATCCTAATTATTTGCCTACTTTTCCTATCTTGTCCATATGCAATTTAAAAAAAACTTTAAGTATTCTTTCAGTTTTGGCCTCTTAGAACTTTCCATATGTATTAAAGGCATTTGAAGAAAAGTGTTCTGGTTTGTTTCTTTGTCTTGGTATATTTTACACATGCCGTATGTGAGGCATGGAACAACTTATTTTGTCATCTGTGTCAGTGGTCATAACTCTTGAATTTTTTGCAAACTTGTATTATAGTGCTGTGAAAAATAGTTCCTATATTTTGAAGTGCAAATGCATATATCATTCTCAGACTGTTCTGTAGATTGTATTAAAATTTAAACACATGGATGTGGATGGTATCAACTGATTCTCGGTTCATTGAAAACAATTTGCTTCTTTGTGATAGTGTTTTTTACTTATAACCCACATCACTTTTTTTTCAACCAAGGTTTCAGCTTTTTTCATATATCATGTTTTATCTTGAGTAAGGTATGCATTTTCCATTTTTTGATCATATATTTATCTTTTAGCAAAGTAATCCTTTTGTATTGTGGACAATTTTATTTGATTGAATTTTGCCTCCCTTAAATTTTTGTGTATTAAATTTCACTATTAATTTTCTTTGGAGAAACTGTTTTTACTTTGTGGATTAGTGAAACACCAAGCTTCATATTCCCCCTTCAAAGTATAATTTGATTATATGTTGTAAGTTTTTCAAGTATGTATCTGATTGTCACTGCCTGAAGTATTAAACTCACCATGAGGCCTGCCACTGTTGTAGACTTGCTCCGCTGTCATGAATTAGTTTTCTTTTTATTTGTAGGCCCAGTGATGGTTGATTTCTTTTGCTTGGATCTGTCGTTTGGAGACTCCTGGTCAATAATGCAGTGTCATGAATAGTGTAGTTTTTAAGTTTCTTTACATATTAGGCACCATTGTAGTTTCTTATTCCTAAGGCTATAAATGTTGCAAGACATTTATAATGCCTAGTAGATGTGGCAAACTAGTTTTTCTTGTGTATGCAAGGTGCATTTTAGGAATTATATAAGTTTATTAATATGCATGAGAGGAGGCATCTTGGTGACTGAGTTCTAAGAACGTATACCATTTTTCCCTGTTGCATTGTCCTTTGAGAGTTTGCTGTGGGTAATATAATGCCTGTTACATATTAAAATAGTGAATTATTCTCCATGAGTATTTTATTATTTAAATAGGATTGTTCTAAAATTTAGAAGCTGTTCAGTAGCTTCCAAAAGTCGTCTCTTATACAGACACAGAGGATGTATTCAATTCCCTAAGAAATGCATTGTGATGTGGTGTTCTCTCTCTCTCTCTCTCTCTCTCTCTCTGTCTCTCAGTACTGGGGATTAAACTCAGGTCCTTGTGTTTGCGAGGTAGGCAGCGGAACCACTGAGCTAAATCCCCAGCCCTGTGATGTGCTTTTGACTAGTAGCTGTCAAACCAGCTCATTAGACATTCATCAGTTTATATTTTGGAGGTTGTGAAAAGGTAGCCTTATCTAAATGATGGATAAGAACTGTTCAACAAATAGAATATTATTGTCATGAAGTTGGAACACCGTGGAATTTTACAGTTATGTTGGTGTGGTCCAACCCAGTAGCAGCTCTAAATTCCAAGAAAGTTGAACTTTGTTCTCAGGCATTTGTAAGAATATGCAGTTGCAGACAGGTGGTGGTAACTATCCGAGCATTCAGTAGTAGGAATTTGTTAATGTAGTTTTATAGACCCCTTGTGGAAAGAGAAATTAGTGTGGCTCACGTTGTTCAAATCTAGCATCAGAATTGCCCTAGGAGAGGGTGTAAGTAGGAGAACAAAACTGAAGACTGAGATGCCTAGTGAAGGTGTATGTGGAGAACACAGCATCTGTGAAGAGGTTTTGAGGTAAACCTAGATCTCCTCTGCAGTGAATGTCACTCTTGCTCATGGAGATGTATGTGTGATTGTTATAGGAACCGGTGACCTATAAGGATGTGGCTGTGAACTTCACCCTTAAGGAGTGGGCTCTGCTGGATCCTTCCCAAAAGCAACTCTACAGAGATGTAATGCAGGAAACCCTCAGGAATCTGGTTGCAATAGGTAAGGTTGGTGCCATTGCCTAGTGCAGCAGAGAACAAGTGTCTTGCTCATCAGCATTGTCTCCTTATTTAGAAAATGGAAATGGACCATTTAGAGGAATATGCCAGGTATAATTGCATAATGTATAAATCTAGGTAGACTCTAGCAATTTTTCTACAGAGTAATAATTTTGAATTTTTTGGCTCTACATTTTAGGACAAAAATGTGAATACTCAAACTTTGAAGATGAATACATAAACCCCAGGAGCACTGTAAGGTAATTTGCATTCAGAAGAGAAAGAGTGTCTCTTAGGAATCCTGTTGTGTGAGGAAAATATTAAAACAGTCAAATGATAGAAATAAATCCCTCTTATAAAGGTGAAATGTTTGTGAAAAACTGTTTTCATGCTAGATGTCCATATGTGGAAAATTGATGTTCCAGTGTTGGACATCTCTGTAGGGAAGACACCTCCAGGGTACTGACATGGTGTATAAGTGAAAGCTTCTCATGGTTGAATATTTACAAATTTTCATTCATGTACAAAATTATGAAAATGTTGAATCACATTACTCTCAGGACTTGAATATAAAGTATATATGAAAAAAAGATTTTTATATTGACACTTAAAACTATATTCATGGTAACAGTATGGATGTATCAGTATTTAAGAATGGAACATGTTTTTTTTGTAGTAGTATTTTGCATGAGAAACTCCAAATATTTAGAAGTGACTTTGACATTTAGTGTTTGCCAAGTACATATCATGGATACAGTATATTAAAAAGCTCACGAGCCAGGTGTTGTGGTATAGGCTTGTAATCCTAGCACATGGTGGATTTTAGCAGGAATATTGCTATGTGTTTGGGGACAGCCAGGCTTACAGGGAGGGCTATGTAGTGAGTTCAAGGCCAGCCTGAACTACACAGTGAGACCCTCTCTCAAAACTAAAATCAAAAAACGCATGAGTACCAATATCTTGATACTTGTTTTGAGTCATCCTTCAGAGCAGAGCAGGCAGTCGCTATATGTTTGAAGATTGTTACAGAACATAAAACCAGTATGTCTTGTGAATTGTGACTATCCAAAATCTTAGTAATGCTCTTGTCTTTTGTTTTTAGAAGTCCAGATATAGACAAACTTGGTGAATATCATGGAGGTAGTCAATGTGGAAAAACCTTCAGCCAGGCACCAGAGCATGTTGTAAAGAAGAAAACTTCCCCTCAAACATCACCACATGAAAGCTGCATTTTTGAGCGTGTCATCATTAGTCGGTCATCCCTAAAGTTAACCCTCAAAGCTGACACTGTGTGCAAAACTTACAAGAATGAAGAATGTGGAATGAAAACTTGTAAACATAAGCAAAATAGAAAAGACTTCAGTTGTCCTCAAGGCTTTCAGAACGCTGAAAGATCGCAAACTGGAGAAAAAGCTTTTGACACTAAGCAAGGTAGGAATGACCTTTCTTCCAGTTCTTATCAAGGATGTGAAAGAATTTGCAGTAGAAAGAAACCCCATGTATGTAAGCAATGTGGAAAACCCTACACGAATCTCGGGTCACTTCAATCACATGAAAAACTTCACACTGGAAAGGACCCCTATGCGTGCAAGTATTGTGGGAAAGTCTTGGGTCGTTTGAGTACTCTTAAGATACATGAAAGAATTCACACTGGAGAGAAGCCCCATGTATGTAAACAATGTGGGAAAGCTTTCACTGATAAAAGTTCCCTTCGATACCATGAAAGGGTTCACCGTGGAGAGAAACCTTATGTATGTAACCATTGTGGGAAAGCTTTTATTTGTTCTGGTACCTTTCGAAAACATGAAAGGATTCACACTGGAGAGAAGCCTTATAAATGTACAGAATGTCTGAAAAGTTTCGTTTCTTCCAGTAGCTGTAAAAAACATATGAAAATTCATGCTGCAGTTAAACCTTGTTTATGTAAGCAGTGTGGTAAAGCCTGCATTCATTCCAATTCCCTCCGATACCATCAAATGGTTCACCATGGAGAAAAACCCTTCGTACGTAAGCAGCGTGTAAAAGTCTTACCTGTGACTGAGTTTCCAAAATCTGAAGGGGTTCACAGAGAGAAACGATATGAGTGTAAACAATGTGGGAAAGTCTTTCTTTGGCGAAGCAGTTTTCGAAGACATAAAGAACTTCACAGTGGAAGAAAACGATATCAATGTAAGCATTGTGGCAAAGCCTTCCTTTGGGGAACCAGTTTTCAGAGACATCAACAACTTCACAGTGGAGAGAAACGATATGAATGTAAGCAATGTGGGAAAGCCTTCCTTTGGCAAAGTAGTTTTCGAAGACATAAAATAATTCACAGTGGAGAGAAGCCACACGAGTGTAAGCAATGTGGGAAAGCTTTCTTTCGTCCCAGTACCTTGAGAAACCATGAAAAAATTCACAATAGAGATAGCCTATTTATAAGCAATGTGAACCTCTAGATTACTCATTTGTCTCCTAATACATGTGAAAACACTGGAAAGAAATCCTTTGTGTGTTTGAAATGTGGGAAAGTCTAGTTGTCACACTTCCTTTCACAGACAAGGAAGAACTCACAGTTGAGAGTAACTTTAAATATGGAATGTGGAAGCTTGCATTTTTCCAAAGACCTTTCTAGCATTCATGAGACTGTATAGGAGAGGATTTGTTACAGTAAATTATGTAGAAATGCCTCTTATCTTGCCCGAGTCACAGATGTGACAGTATGGACTAGAAGAACTGTGCAAAAACACTTTACTGGGCATATGTGTTAATACATTCTGGATGACAGCCCCAAGATTCTGAGAAAAAAGAAAAGCTCTCAGATGTGACAAATCGTGTTAAAACCCTGTGAAATTCTAGTCTTTCTAAGTTCCATTAGGGAATATGCTTTGTCACCTGTTGTTTTTAATTGTTTGTAGGTAAACTGAAACATTTTAAAGTATACTGCCTTATAATTGTGTAATTGTACTGCACTGTGTTTAATAAGACATTGAGAACTTTTGCTGATTTTCTTGTGTTTTCTGTTGGCAGGCTGTTACCATTTATGTACCTGTTGATTTTCTTTTTATCTGGAGACAGGGTTTCACTGTGAAATTCAGGTGGCTGTGGCGACCCTCCTGCTTCAATAGCCTGAGTCCTGAGATTACAGGCATGCGCCGCCATTCCCAGCTCTTTCATCTTCTTTGATGGAACAAACAATGCACTTTACATACTATTTATATTCTTACTTGATATGTATTCTCTTGAGACGTAAAACCCTTGTGAGATTAACAAATTTTTTTTAAATTGAGACTATAACTCTAAAAATGCCATTGTTTTTATTTTTGTTGTTGGGTTGTCCTTGGTTTAATTTTTGGGTTATTACTTCAATCTTCCTGATATAGTTGCGCTTTAGCTTTTGAGTCTCTGATGACTCAGACATTCTCATTTCCTTAATATCAGCGAAGACAACTCATTAAATCAATCACAGTCCTTTAGCCCAAGTTGATACCATCAGCAACACAATAGAATCAAGCACAACTTACAAATTGACCATTCATGGTAGTCGTTAATCTATCACCTTTAAACCATGTGAATTAAAATCAAGAAGCAGCCCAAAACATGTTTGCAGTGAATAAACTCTTCAATATAGATAGCATACTTACCATTTAGGATGGGGGTTTAGACAGAGTTAGGATGAGAGGAGTAGATAAGAAAAAGAATTGGAGGTTTCAAGTGAAGCCAGAGGAAATAAAACGACCACACAATCTTTAGGAAACTGTTAAATTCAAAAGGGAAAGACTACAAGAATAAGGATGAGAATATAACCACTTAACAGTAATAGGGGCTCACTTTCCTTTGAGACTATTAACCCTTGTGTGAGGTAAAATAAGAGAAGAAAAGAACATAAAGAAAAAACGATAAAAGAAGAAATCTGAGTTAGTGCAAGAGCAGGAACAGAAAGGGAGATGAGGGATAATAGGTGGAGGAAGAGGGCAGAAGAAAGAATTTGCTGTGGAATAAGGAAAAGAAAGAAGAAAAAGAATTTGAAGGGCCTCTTTCAGACTATATCTCTGCTGTCATAATATACAACGTGCACAGCATGTGCAGAACTAAGTCCTTTGATCTCAGCTAGCTGATGGCAGATCCCTGAGATTCAGACTGATTTCAGGCTGCAAGGCCCAGATTGAGTTCCCTGATCTCCTGTAGGGTTGAACTCCACACAGTTCTACTACAGATTCCCTCTACCCTTTCTTTAAAGATTCTCAAAGTTGGGAGCACAGAAAAATACCCTTTATGACCAACTATGCCTCTGCAGAGTGGATCCAAGGACAGGCACAATTAGGTCTGAGTTGGGGGAGTATGGGAGTGTTTCGGGGGCGCCCATGTGGCTACCCTTCCTTCTGCTGGAGTTGGTGGTGGTGCAGGCTGGGAGGGTGTGGCTACTCAGTCCCTGCAGCCTGGGCCCAGGCAGGCTGAAGGGAGAGTGGGTCTCAGCAGCTGTCCTGGATCTCCGCCTTCCACCTTAATTCCACTGGAGCTGATGGCAGTGCTAGAAATGCCATTGTTAACATAGGTGTATTCAATTTGCAACTTTGATGAGTTTTATTTTATTATTATTTTTTCTTTGATGTCAGGAGTCAGTAGTATGTGGATAGCACTTAAGGTGTTCTCCCATAATGTAAACTATACTATACATGCATAAATTGATGAAACTTAAATGGGGGTTGTAATTTGTGCCTTGCTCATTATACAAAATGTATATCAGACTGATTTGAGTGCCCTCTTGCCAGAGACCACCTGGATCATGCCTTTTGTCATATAGAGGTAACACATTGTAAGAATCTGGGCACACCGAATCTCTGGTTCATCATGAAAGACATTGACCATAAAATTTTGATAGGATTTATGTTTGTGTTAGGGAGTTGTTTGCTATTCACTGTAGTGCAGCTTCTACCCCTGTTGGATGCACTGAGTGGTGAATGCGTTTCTGTCCTTGGTAAGCATTGTAGTTCCTGTCCTGAAGTTTGCATTTAATACACCAGCCTAGTGAATGTGAAACCTTTGTGTAGCCTGGGTTAAATTTTCTTAAGTACATTAGCATAAGATTGGGCAAAATCATTAACACAATGTGTATTTTATAGTATAGTATTTTACAGTGTGACTGTTTCATGTACTTTACTGAATATAGCTGACATGTGAATAAATGGCCAAGTGAACAGGTGGCTGCTGCCTAGCAACAACAAAAATCTATTACTATATCACTACCTGGCATGAGAGCAAACCTTAAAACTTGAAGGCATTTTCTCAGAGGCACGTTCCCTTCACTTTTGCACCATCTTAACATCAACAATTTGTAATTCTAAGACCCATGTCTATAGTCTTCCTGATATCAGTTAAAATATGAAAATTCAGTTAATCTTTAAGCATGTTTATGATATTTTCAGTCTCAGTCTAAGCAGAAAAGTGTGGTGTGATACATTATCAGCATGTGAGCCTAGAAAGGGAGAAGAGGACCATCTCAACTGTAATAAAGGTTGTGTTTCAGAAAGTACACTTTTTGCATCAATTATGACAGATCTTACAGCCAGCATTTTAGACCACAAATGTATAGAATTAAGCAAAAGGAAATTTTTCCAATGCTGATGCTTCTATTTTTGTGAGAGACCCTACATGGTTAAAGAAATGGTAAAACATCTGTTTATAAGACCGCGTGCACACGCACGAGCACACACACACACATATATAAAGAGACGGGGTTGTGTTGTAAATCTGTATGGAAGGTCAGTGTGTGACTGATCATGTGTAATTGATGATGATCATGATTGATCATTTTTGTTTCCTCTTGCAGTAACCCCTCAACTCTGTTTCTGCATTTGCTTGGGTGTGAATGTTGCTAATGAAGACAGTCTTGCCTTCTTGGACTTGTCCACCAAGGTTATGATAACATATAGGTATAGTTCATGATTTTGCACTGATTGAGAAGGGTGCCCCCCCTTCATATAATACATGAACTTCAGTTTGGCCATGAGATAATGATGCTTAGAGCATGCCATTACTTTGGCTCAGTAGTGTGTGCAATAAGTCTAATGCCCCTGTAGGATTTCAAAGTATATTTCCTATTTGGTTGTCTCATTTTGCTGCTGTGTAGAGCAAGTTATGCAAATTGTATAGCAATACCCGGGGATCTTTCCAGTGTGAGAAACATTGATAGTTACCTTCACAGGTTTGTTTGCTGTGAGTAGGGTGATGTTTAAGCCAATCCAGTGTGATTTCCACATTGAACTGCAAATGAAAGACATATTCCCTTCAGTCACTTATCAGTTAATAATTGATCAGCAGATAGTTTTTGAGTGACATCCTACATTTATGTTAAAAGGGATGTAATTGACATGATCATCATGAGAATTATTCACTGTCTTTTTGAGAGGGTAACTGGAAGCATTGTGTTTGTTGACAAACTTTCAAATTCAACTTTAATGTCCTCCGGTATCATTTTTCTATGTTATTAAAGAGGAGAAAAAATATCTGCTCTAAGAAGGGCTACCTGGGTGGGAAGAAGTGGGAACAGAAACTGGTGCATATCAAGACTGGTGGGTGAGGTTTTGGTCACCGTGTGGTCATCAGATGGAAAAAAAGATTATGACCATGAGACAGTGGTTGAAGAGCAGATCACCGGGGAGAACTTGCTTCCTTTCTATTCAGAGTATGTGACTGGAAAGCTCTGTCCTGCAGGAGTACCTGGCATTGATCTTAGACCCTAAAGAAGTAGCAGAAATTGCTAGAATGAAGCAAACAATTAAAGAACAGTAGCTTGTCCTCATGCAGGCTGCCCAAAGATGTTCAGAGATAACGGTAGTAAGAGAAAACATCTGTGTACCCGCTGCCCCATAGTCCATGTCTAGGGCTGGCCCTGTATGCACCCCTTGGATGGTTGTAATTGGAAGTTTGCTCACGCAAGTAACCTGGAATCTCATCCTTAACACGTGCTAAGGCCAAAAGCAACCAGTGAAAAGGAGGGAAGACCCTTCTCAACCACAGAAAGCATGTGTGTGGGAGTAAACATGACACTTCTTTGTATATTATTCCTAGGAAGAATTTTAAAAGCAGTGCTTCTACTGACAGCTATCTGGGTTCTTCTAGGAAAAATTTTAAAAATGAATCCTACACACCTAATGGACTTAATTTGATAAGATAGTAAAAATTATGAAAGAAACTTAGATAAGATGACATGGGTAAGTTGATCTACTTTGGTCTGTAATGCCATTTGAAAAATACTGTTGTGAAGTGTAACAGGACAGTTTGTAAACTTTGAATCAAAAGACAGTCTATAGCCAGGACTTTAGCTCAGTGGTGCCGCTGCCTGCCTCACAAGTGCAAGGACCCGAGTTCGATGACCAGTACCAAAAAACAAAAAAAATTTATAAAACTGCTTTAAAATGGATATCTTTTCACATTCTTATAAGTGCGAACTCATTTGTTGCTTACAAATTTTTTCAATTTTATATATGTGTATTTTGGGGAGTGGTACTGGGGAACAAACTTGGGCACTTGGGCCCTTGCGCTTGCAAGACATGTGCTGGAACCACTGAGCTAAATCCCCAGCCCTTAATTTTATATTCTTGAAGTGTGCATGTTGTATACTTTTGTGGGGGGCAGCATTGGGGATCAAACTTGGGACCTTCCCCTTATAAGGCAGGTGGCAGAACCACTGAGCTAAATCCCCCATCCTGTGTTTGGGTTTTTGTTTGTTTGTTGTTTTGGTACCGGGGATAGAACTCAGGACCTTACACTTGCGAGGCAGGCTATGGAACCACTGAGCCAAATTCCCGCCCCTATTGTACACTTTTTGGCATATGCTTAGTAATGCATTCTGTGATTTTTCTGGAGGTTGATAAATCTGCTTGCAATAGATTTTATTTACAAGAATGAGCAATTATATGCATATGTAAGATACTTTGTATTTTCCTGTACAAGCCAAAGTTATATAAGTTTTGATTGCTAGCTTAATTTTGTTTGTATTCTTGGATGTTGATACATTTTATATGATTGTATATTGTGTAACTATTGAATCATGTATTATCAATTATTAGATGTAATCATGTCAATTTAAACCTATTTTAGTCACTTTTTCCAAAAAGTACTGCCAGATGCTGATATTCAGTGTAATTTGTATGCTCATTCAGTTACTAAAGTGGTGCTCAGTAGTAGAATGTACTTGCCCTTTTAACACCTGGTGTGTACATCTCATGTAACCGAAAGAGCAACAATAAAATAGCCATCCTAGTGAAAGAGTATCTGCTCTCTTTTATTGA